AAAGATATAGGCAAAAAACTGTTAATTTTATAGTAATTTCATATAAAATAATATAGCCAATAGTTTTTTGCCAATATTTTTTAATTCAGTAATCCAATTTAAATAATTTTGGTACCATTGGATTCCTCTCACTGAGACGAATCCAATGGTATCAAATTCATCCAATTTGGATCACTGGGTTATGAGATATTAATATTTTTATAAAAAAATTAGGTTATTTTTCTTCGACCTCCCTCTAACTTAGCAAAAAACGTAAAAAAACGTTATTTTTGTGAAACCTCCTCCCTCTTGTATAATGTTATTTATGGATGCCCCCAAAGAGTTGATGAAGATCTGCAAATTTACTATTACACAAAGTATTATAAATTATAATACTTTGTATAATAATGAATTTGCAGATCTGTTTTTTTTGTTGATCTCAAGTATTTTGTGATTTACCAAGCCAATTTTGATGATTTAACTACTATTAGAATCAGAAGAACTTTCTCTTTAACTTAAAGCTAAAAAAAGTCTTTTTTTAGTAGAATTTTCTTTAAATTATTTTAACCAATTATATCATTGCTTTAAATAATAATATAATTTTACAAAGATATAAAAATAAAAAATATATTAACTTTAATAAAAAATTTTCCTTGAACTATTAGAAGTTAAGAAACAAAGCTTTTAGCAAAAGATTATAAAATGCTAAAGAATATATATTTAAAATTTATTTATTTTTTTTTTTTAAATTTATAGAATGACCACATAGTAGGTGTTTTATTAATTAAAGTTTTAGTTGCACTATAATAATTATTATAGAGGGGTTTACAGTAATATATCAATAAGATTACAATAAGCTATATATACAACTTTAGTCATTATCTATTTAAGGGTTCTGCCCAAGAGTTCTTTACTTATTGCCATGCCTAGAACCCGCTTGTGGGTCCCCTGTTTAAACTCTCTGATTTTCAATATTAATTGCTTACCTGAACTTTAATATTTGTTAAAACCAACTTTCGGGCTATTTTATCTATACAGTAAAATTCTACCGAGAAAGGTGGTTTCCACATATGCCTACCTCACCTAGATTTTTTTAGTAATTTACTTACTATTACCTACTCATGTCTTTGTAGAGTTCACTCAAGCTCCGGTACCTGCCCTAGCAATCGTCAGAGATTTGTACTACCTCTCTACTCGGGTCTTGCCAAGTGAGTGTCTGTCTTTCCAGTTCTTCGGGTTTATACGATCACAAGGATTTATTCATATAACTTATATGTCATACAAATGTTTCATGATCTTCCAAACTTGTTGGTATAACCAAAGTTACAAAAATCCTGTTCTAACTGATCATCAAAATAGTAGCTATCATACAAGCTGAATATTCGAAATATTATCACTAGTGGGTTTCGAACTTCCAACTTATCAACATACCGCACTTGAAGACCACCTGTTTTTATTCAAACAAATGACTACCGATTTTGGTTCATAATTTTCATTCTGGGTAACTTTTTTGTAAAATTCTTGACGAACATATTCAGGTATTTTTAAAAAAAATTTTGCCGTGGCGCCAGTTTCAATAAGAGACTCGTAGTTCACTCCATTTAATAGTAGTGCAATTAACAGATTAAGTGAATTCCATATATTTCTTTTATATTTTTCAGATATTTTAATGGTAGAACTGATTAAGTAGGAAATATACCCCTGAAAATTTTTGGCCCCAGATTTTTCTAGGAGTTTCTTGAGTAAATGCATAACATAGATTGTTATAATGATGTTTAACGCTAACGAAATGTTTCAACTTTTTAATCTTCTCGTTCTTTCCAAACTTATTATATTTGTCAACCAATCGACTAGGTTTTGTTTTATCATCTCAATATTCGATTCTTTATTCTCAATATTTGATTCTTTATCGACATTAAGCTCAATTATATTGTTAACTAAAGTATTTATTTTTTCTCTTAACTTATTAGCGACTTTTTTATATTTATCATTTTCTAAGCTAATTTTTTTTGTAGGTATTACTTTTTGAGATAATAGAAGAGTTTAATCGTCCTTTAAAGTGCCAAATGTGTTTTTCGCTTTACTAACCTAAAGTTTAATGAGTTCTTTGTAGGTTTCAACAATTCACAATTTTGCAGCTCAAATATCAGTTTTAAATATATTTTATGCTTATTATTTGACAATTTTAAGATGTTCTCATAACCAAAAATTCTTTCTAATATTGAATTGATATGAATTCAGACTTCCTCAGAATCTTTGTTGTTAAATTTAATTAAAATTTGACTTAATAAACTCGGTTGCTCTTCAAAGTCTTCGTCGTTAAATACATTTAATGATGAACTTGGTTTATTATTCTAAATTTTGAGAAAAAATTAAACCAAGTTTACATTTTGACTTATAATTTATATTAAGAGATTTAATAACTTTAAGATTGTAGTCCCATATTTACTTGAATGGTCATGGTCAAAGTCTTCGTCGTTAAATTCATTTAATAACTCTTCAGGGTCTTTGTCGTTAAATTCATTTAATGATAAAGTTGATTTTTTATTCTAAATTTTGAGAAAAAATTAAACCAAGTTTATATTTTGACTTATAATTTATATTAAGAGATTTAATACCTTTAAGAATGTGGTTCCATATTCATTTGAAGAATTTTTAGCATTTTTACCATTTGAGCAGTCAGAAATATGAATTTTCTAATAATAATTTTTATTAATAAAAACCTATTTTTAATAATAATTTTAAGCGTAAAAAATACTGTTTTTGAGCCATAAATGGCGATTTTATAAGTATCTCTTAGATGTTTAATTTCAATTTCTTTTTTCTAAATTTATAAAAAAATTGAATTGGCAAATCTACTCTTTGCTATTAATATTGTGTAACTTATTATCTCTATTTTATTTAAAATTTCTGATTGTTTCACGTATTTCTTTAGTTCAAATTTATGTTTGATACGTTGATTTCGTAATTTTTTCTTTTGATGTTTATATAGACCGTAATAGTTCTATTAATAAAAGTAATACTTTTAAGCCCAATACATAAACCTTTTAATAATACAGCATAGTAATCAAATTCCTGTAGTAGTTTCATTTTATAATATTCAAAGAAAAGTGTAACGGTGTGAAAAAAAGTAAACAATAAATATGATCATCAGATTTTGTACATCACTCAATTATGTAGGGTTGGAGCATGGTAAATCGACTTGATCAATAAATTAATAGCTTTAATCTACTTAAAATGAAACTGGGGACCTCTCTTGCTCACCTTTAAAGCTTATAAAACCCACATAGACTTGTTTATTAATAATCCTAACCCTAAACTCTAACTCTAATACTAAAAAAAACCCCAAAAATGTCCCCTAAAAAATTTTAAAATTTGCTTAAACAACACTAAAAATCAAATCGGTGGATATGACAAAATTTTAACAAAAATTTTTCATCATAGTTAATACTTGTTTTAAAGTTATATTAAATACTTGATATATCAAAACTTTATTAGTTGCATATTTCTTGAAAAATCATAACTTTTGAATTACTTTTTTTATTAACAAATTCTTGGTTTGTTACTCACGAAAATAAGTAAATTGGCGTTTAAAATTAACGAATTAACGAGAAACTTACTATTAATATAATAAAATATTCAGGATAATAAAAATAAGAGAAAAAAGTGTGCTCTTCAAAGAATAATTCTCTTTTTTAAGGCGTTCAATCTCGAGATAATGAGTTCGATCTTACTTTCAAGTTGATCAAAATTGGTTGTCATGTTTAAAGATTTCAAGATAACTCTTGATTTGAATTTAGCAGTTTTCTTTATATATAGCCACGGTACCATGGTTTAGAAGTACTTTATATAGATAATTGATGTTATGCAAGCTATATATAAAAAAAATACAATTTTGTGACTTAAGATATCTAAAATTTACTTTTACTTTAGTTTATTATATGGAGTAATTGCTATAGAGATATGATCCAAAACTATAACTATTGTAGTCAGAATTTATAACAAAAATTTTAGTTAATTAGCAGCTTTACAAGTGATAATTTTTATAAAAATAACTCAAATAAAGCTTAATCAAATTTAGCAGGAATTTTGATAATTTTGATAATAAAAGTCTGTTAATTTCAGAAAGGTTATTAATTAGATATAATGATCAAGTAATGTAACTAAAGAAGTGCACCTTATTGTCAGTACAAATGATCCCGCATTTATATTATAGTGACTCTGTTTTAAGATATTCTTTTAAATGAGATTAAATAGAAAAAGGTAAATACGAAAAGTTAATTATAAACATTTTTAGCCTGTTATTATTAAATTTTTTTTAAATATAATTTTATATTTATTCATTATTTACTATACTTTTTTTTTATTATAATTACTATAGCACAGACGTGTTTATATATAAAATTCATTTTTCTCAAATTGTTAGATGAAAAGTTCTAGCGATTTATGTTGTTTTGACTTCATAAATCTGACCAATAGAAAAATTTATAATTTAATTACCAATATGGTAATATATGTTGTTTTCAATCTGACTAATGAAAAAATTTATAATTTATTTGACCAATATGGTAATTTATGAAACTTTTGTTCTGTCGATTGATTTCAAGTTTTTTTTGAAATTAAATATATAGAAAAAACTTGATTAGATCAATAAATTGGCTAAGAATGAAGTGAAAAATGAAAAAAATAATACTACACTATTACATTATAATTTTTAAAAAGTTTGAATACAAAAGTTGTGCATATTTAATTTAATCAGCGAAATTTCTATTAATATCAAGAATAAAAGATTTTGAACCAAAAGTTTATTTCAATTTAAATCATCAAATGATTATTAACCAAGCTCCACATTTTTTTATCATAATAATCAATGAAATTTCTATTAATATCAAGAATCAAAGATTTTTTTGTTTGAATATGTAAATTTTTTGAAGAAGAGCATTCCCAAATTATGTCCTGTGATACTCTATTTGGTGGAAATGATTTATGCTTTGGCTTATAACTGTAATTAGGATACACAATATTATGAACTTGTTT